AGCAGGTGCAGCACGGCTACAACCACAACCACATGGCACACGTGCAGCAGGTAGGTCACAACCTGCTATCGGCCAACCACAGCAGCTCCAGCCAAGTAATCAGATTGGCAGTGTTTCCTGTTACGGGATTTTGAATGTGGGAGTGAATAAATCTGGGATCACTTCCAGCAGGTGTTTAAGGTTCTGAATGGGTCATATTTGGGTGATAATGCTGCGAGTGCAGTGGATGTTTTTTTGGCAGTCTGACCCAGTTCAGGTTAGGATGTGTATCTCACTTTCTCTTCTTTTGGTAAGTTTTAGTTATGAGAGGAACACGGCACACTACAGGATAGACAGGAAGAACAAAGCTTTTTCATTGATCAGTCACACCGTATTAATTCCATTTAGCAAAATAGATATGTTGCAGTGCTAACTCTTTGGTAACTGTGGAGTTGTGGCCATTTTCTGTCAGTTCACCATTCTCATTCGCTTTGGTTAGAGAGTTACATGAGAATTTATTTACACACAGACACAATCCCTGTGTGTAAAGTATAGAGTTTGACTCAGGGCGTGGTTAGCTTAGCTTACTTCTCACTGCTTAAAGGACCAGTGTGTAGGATTTAGTGGATTCTAGCGGTAAAGTTGCAGAATGCAACCAACGGAAACTGTTTGCCACAACCGAGCTAAAGGCAGCAAACACAGAAACTCTTTTTATTTCCAGATGATTATACACTAATGTAAACATACCTCTGAAACAGGGCCTCCTAAATGTTGAACTCTGGACCTTTTTAAACGTTTATCTTTGTTTAATCCGCTCACAAACAGAAGCGTAAAACTGAAGTAGTGACTGTGTGCAGCTTCGTGGAGTCTTTAACATCACAGTGTGGTTGTCAGGTTTAACACCTTTGTTCCTGTACAGAGACCCCTTATACCAAAACCTGTTCCCACGAAACCCACACATTGCACTTTTTACATTTCAGTTGTGTGTAAGGATTAAACAAATGAGATACATCATGTGAATTCATGTTTTAGATTTGTTAGTAGGCGTATTTTTGAACTTTTAGAGAAGGCCAGACCGGCTGTTTTCCCCTTCCTCGCACTGTTACGGTATGCTAAGCTAGCTAGTCTAATTGCCTCCTGACTCCGGCTTCATACTTAATGCACCAACATGAGACTAATATTGATCTCTTCTCACTCTCAAAAAGAAAGCAAAATTGTTTATTTCTCAAATAAATTGGATCTATTTAACAAATGCAGACTTATTAAATATATGTCAGCAAAATTCCTAAACTGGTTATGCCTCATATTAATCCTTTGTGTTTGCCACAAGCATGCTATACTCCACGTCCCGCCACACCCAGAAATTGACCCCTGGTCACAACCACAGAGGCAGGAGCTGTGAATGCTGTGGCATTGATGTCCTCCTGTTTCATCTTTTTAATGAACTCGTCTCTCATCCTTCCGTTTGTCTTTCGCTGTCGTTCTCACTTTGTGTCACACTTTTGCCCTTGTTGTCACACTCACTGACACACACTTTCTCTCACACCTAGGCCCATATGCAGTCCGGTATGGTGCCATCTCACCATCCGGCGCCCACCCACCCCACGATGATGCTGATGGCTACCCAGGGTCCTCCAGGGGGTCCGCAGCCACAAATGCCCCAGACGGCCCTCAACCCCATACCCGTTTCCTCCACCACACATTTCTCCTACCTGGCACATCCACAAGGTTTGTTTATTTTATTAACTGGCACACTCCTGCGGGGTCGAGTTAGGAATATGTAGGTTGCTTTTTTCCCCCTTTCTTAAATAAAAGAAATCTGCTTGATTAAGAGTAGTTGGTCTGTGCTGGTCCGTCAAAGTTCTGACTCCAGACAGCAAGCTGGAACTGGCTCATCTCATAGCAAATCAAAAACTCTACCAGTGTCAGCAAAGTTGTGCTGGCAGTGTTTGTTTTTAGGAGATACTATCAGGAGGTGAAGCTATGGTGGAAGACCAAACAATGGGTGGATTCTCCTGGTTACAGTCTGTCTCTATCCGTAGCCGGGTAGCTAACACTAGCTTTTTTTTCTTTTTTCAAAATACTCATAATGGTGACAGCCCTGCAAGTGGTCGGGCTTTTTATATATTATGTCCCTCATTTTTAACATTGAAAGTGCGTTAGTTCAGGGATCTCCTAACGGCCAGTATGAACAAGAGAAATGATTACATTGCATTATGAATTACAGCAATTGTTCACATGAACACGTGACTTTTGTTTCGACATGCGCGGAAACATTAACCAATTAACTGTGGACAATCTCTGAATCCATGAACTTCACATTTCCCCCATTTTGTCTCATCTCTGCAGTGCAACCTCATCATCAGCAGCAGCTGTAGATAGAGGGCGCCAGCGAGCTGAGGGACCCGCTCTGCGTCGCGCTTCTCAACCAGAGCCTTCATAACCAGGCGATGAAGAGAATGAGAGCCCTCCCTCTCCTCTCTTTCCTCATCCTCACCAGACATGCTTCACATCAGCTTTTCTCTTCCCTCCCCTCCCTCCCTCCCTCCCTCCCTCCCTCCCAGACTAGGCAATAAGAGAATGTTAACAGGTTGATGCAGTGACATGTTTTAACAAGCTAGAGAGTTTTAACGGACAAGACTGCTCCTATTCAGCCCCGCAGACATCTGCAAACACAAATACAGGCACAGGGTCACACTCAAACAAAACACCCACACACACACACACACACACACACACACACACACACACACACACACACACACAAACACACCAGTCACACACATACAGACAGACACACACACACACACACACACTTTCAGGGGTCCCAAATTGCAATTTGAGTCAGCTTGCCAAGTAAGACGTGAAAGAGAGAATGAGAGTAACTAATCAGTGAGACTGAAGAAGAAAATTCAACTGGAACTTGTATTTTGTCTGCACCTTGTTATGGAAAAAAAAAAAGAATCTTCCAACCTTTAGACAGTATTAATCTTACTGTTTATTGTTGCTGCTATGTGCTGCGTTTGTTTCCAGACTACATGAAAGGTTTCTAACCAAACTAAAAATGAAACATGACAAGAAGCTTCCTGTGAAATAAACACGTTTTGGCAGCCAAGAGGACGGGAGGAACGTTATTTATGAAATTATAATGGCTGAGGTGATCAGATCCCACTTCTCACCCAACCCTTATGTAACTTTTAAGTTAAAACTTTTACTTTGTAGATAATATAAATAATTTAAAAAATGAGCAAAAAAATTTAAAAACAATAAAAAAGTTTTAAAAACTGAATGGCTTACTGTGGTTGCATTGCATTGTGGGTTTCTTATCCGTTTATCGCCGTGAACATGGACACTAGTTTTTCAGTGAGTCCCACCACATACACACTCCTGCTACTGTAAATACTCATGAGTGCACCATTGTTATTTCACTCACGTCTCAAAATATGTATTTAAACTTTATTCAAAAAGTCTCAAGATCTTTTATAAGACAACAAATGAGGATAAATTACATGTTTAGATCACAACACATTGAAACATACGTTGTTTTACAGTAGAAAGGTGCAGAATACAACACACTGATGATCACTCCTGATTGCTAAACTTCCCAGCTGTCAGAAATCTGTGACTTGTTTTTAAAGTAACGATCTCTACGTTCTCTGTTTTGTTCTTTGGCCGCACATTCGGCCTCTAGTGGTAACCGCAGGGGTGTTTTTGGACTTCATTTCCCAGAGATCCAAACGGTGTCGTCTGTATGGATCTTTTATTTTTATGTTTCATTGTTTGTAGTCCTCTATCTTTTTGTTTGTTTGGCTATAGTACCTGTTTACTCGCAATCCTAGCAGAGACTGCAAAAGACAGTACCTTGCTTCACGCCAAAATGAGTTGAGTCACCATTGTGTTACCTCATGTGGTATTAGTGACTCATCTGCCACTATTTTAATAATTGATTCGTCATTATGTGATTTATCAACTAGAAATCCTGACATTTGTTTATTCTGGTTTTTCCACACTGAAAGCATTTGTGTCTTTTGTCATATATGGTAATACACTGTCAATCTGATTGTTACGGGCTCGTCTAACAAGACAAGTATTTTGAAACTTTGGGCTGTCTGAAACTGACATTTTTACTATTTTCTGAGATTGACCAGACCAAATGAGTAACTGGGAGAATAATCAGCAGATTATTATGTGTAATGGGCTTGAAATCCCGGGACTTTATACTAATACTGGTAAGAATACAGTGTTTTTAAGTGTATTGCTGCTATGCTACAAAAAAAGATTAGTATGACAACATGAAATGTTTGTTGTAACGAGATGACAACATATTTCCACTTTATTACGACATACAATTATCACGTTATAACAAGTAACATTTTATATTATAACAATATATTTATAACATTGTTACAATGTGTTATAATGTGAAACGTTTAGTTACAACATGAAACCTTTCACAAGATAAATAATATATTGTTATAACATGAAAATGTTTTTAATATAGTTTATTATAGTTTCTAATATAGGTTTGTATGTTGTAATAATGCACAAATATGTTATAACATAAAATCCATTTTTATAACATGAAAAACTGCTTGTCATAACAATAATCTTTTCATGTTATAATGCTGTGGCAGCAATATGTTTCCATAAGTCTACGTTTCCAGTCTATGCGACGCTAAGCTAATGGGCTGCTAGCTGTAGCTAGCTTCATATTTTAGTTGAGTGGTAGCTCTCTGCAAGAAAGTGAATCTCCCCAAATATTGAACTATTCATTTAATGTGTAATGTCAATCAATCTGAGAATATATTGTAATCTTATTTTGACTTTTGATGGTGGAGATCGACAAAACAGTAAGCACCATTTATCTGCAACCTCTCTAAACTCCATCCATCACATGAATATCTTTTACTGGTTCATCACATGCTCATCTCTTACAGCATGTTCCAGAAAAACAGGATGACACAGAGACGTCAAGAGTACACACACACACACACACACACAAAAATCAGAAACTGATCAAGTTCTTTTTTTTGGTTAGGTTTATTTTACAAAAAGTCAAATATACAGTTGATATATATTTAATATAATTTAGATGCTTATTACTCAAAGGGATGCAAACACAATGACAGATTCTTAAAAGCTTTTGAGGGGATGTTTGGTTGAACTGGAATGTTTACAGTGCTAAGTTAACAAACAGAATGAACAGTATTGAGAACATAATACATTCAGCAACTGGACATTTTAAAATAAACACAGACTAAAGGTGTTGCTGGAGTGGATGTTGAGGATTGAAGACACCTGAGGTACATGGGGATGTTCTAAAGCTCTCGATTCTTGCGGACAAATTCGAGTGAACCATGAAACAAAAATAAGAAGCCATGAAGCGACAGGAAAAAGTGGTAGCCCTGGTTTTAAATATAGCATTTATTCTGGGAAATTTTGCATTTGTTAAATACTTTTTTCCTTCAGTCTATGAGCAGGTGCAAACACTGAATTCTCACTCACTTAATCTATCCATCCAGAAGCCTCTGATCGCCCCCTACATACATAAAAAAAAAAGGTGTGAAGCACTGAGCATCTCTCAGATATTGCACTACACAAGTTCTGCACCACATCACACCCTGAGCTTTCGAGAAAAAAAAGGGGAAAAGCAACAGCAGCTTTCTGGCAAAGGCACAGTCATTCTCCCTAACACAAAAAAATAAACAATAAGTCAGCAAAGAGAGGGGACTGATAGTCAAAATAGTTATTGTTACCGTTGCTTTTCTTTAGCAGGAATGAAACACAGAGGTGGCGAGTGATTTGTTTAGACTCGGGCACATAAAAGGGCAGGAAGACCAACCGTACTTTTGCCAAAAACATCCTTGTTTTTGTTCCCCTTTTAAATACTTGAAAGATGTCAGTCTTGATCATGATGATACATTAACTACACAACCATTGTAAAAAATGCTCCTTTGGTAAACAAAGCTGACTTATTGCGTAACGAGAGGAGTAATCACAGCGGACTTACTCTGGTCATGTTTATGAGGAAATGAAGCTGCGTTTATGCGTTTCTCTTAAAAATCAACAGGAAACTACAACGATAAAGAGGGCAGACAGACAGACAGACAGACAGACAGACAGAATTGGGTCTAAACCATACGTTAAGCAGACTTTTACTGAAGGAAAATCTTAATCAACTGCTAAAGTTAGTGTTAAAGCAAGGTTAGAAGACAAAACAGACAAAGTCCTAGCACATAATTTCCCAAAGGCATCCCGCAGCTAATGGAAGTGAAGCTTCAGTTATTGAAACAAAATTACAGAAAACTGGACATTTCAGCTTTGGTGTGTCAAAACTACTGCTTTTAGGTGAACTATCTATTTAGGAGCTATTCTGTAAGGAGAGACGAGTTTCACGATTCAGAACGTGACTGAAAATGAATCTGGTTTGGCCACCGGCTGATCTGAAGACAGAAACACCATGAAGTTTGGATCGTTGTGGGTTAGAAATGAGCTCTTTAAGATGCTTTTGAGGAAACGTACTGGTGGTGGATGAGATAAAATAAACTGGTTATTGGATAAAAATGCTTGCTTTGGTCAAGGCTTACTTTTTTGGATGTATTCCTAAATAAAGATGTAGTACGTCAGCTCTTGACAATGAAGCTGAGACGCCAAACCTTTCTCACAGAGACTCTCATTTAAAACGCGGAAGTTCTATTAAAAATGATGTATAGTGTAAAAATACATTATTTTCACAGTCCCTCCTCGGTTCTTCAATTGGCTGCTGTGGTGAACAGAAAATACTACGAAACATATTTAATGCTATGAGTGTGAAACGTCGAAGAAATGATGCTGTTCCCAGAGTGATGATAAAACTGTAAAAAAATAAATGTTAATATCTACAGAGGCACTTCAGTCTTTCAGGAGTTACATCATATCACCGTCTACCTTTAAAAGCCCTTCACGGGTTTATTGTTAGATTATCAAACCACGACAAAACTAACTTGAAAAAAGGTGTCAAATGTTTTAAAGTTGGATTGAAGTTTCCAGCTCTCTGACCCTCACTGTTGTCAAATATGTGACTGCTTGGATTCAATGACTACTTTGTTTTGGTCTGAACGTGCATTGTTTTCTCCTCTTACACTCTTTGGAGTCAAGTCTTTTGTATGTTTTCTACGGGCACCTATTTCTACTTTATGTGTACAAAATTCACCAAGTCTCATTTTGGTGACAGAATATTTTTTTTATGCCAATACACCAATAAAAAATGGAGTGGCATTATTATAGTATAATTAATGTCACACCTGTAAATAAATAAATATATATATAAAACAGGGCAGAAGTGCACTTTTTTAGAAATTAATTTAGTGGCACAAAATACTTTTTGTGACTTGAAACATGTATCCGGGAAACGTGACTTTGTATTGTTTGTTGCACGCATTGCTGAGGGTTGCAGGACGACAAATATATATAAATTATATTATTGTATTTTGCACTTTCTTGGTTTTTATAGTAGAAATGACTTCTGTGCTCAAATCGGCACATTCATGCTGATGGACTAAACTTTCAATCATCTCACATACACCGTGACAAAAACACACACACACACACACACACACACACACACACACACACACACACACACACACACACACACACACACACACACACACACACACACACACACCACAAACAGCGACAAGTTCCCACTACTGTTGGTAAAAACAGTGCTGATGAAGAAAGCTGATCTGGAATAATTTCTTTGGCTCTCTGTATTTGCTTCAGCAAAGGTTTTGAAGGAGGGTGGAAGCAGACCGGTTACAGCTTCCCAACTGACTTTAACCACTTTTTCCCCTTTTTAATTAAATTTTTGTAATTTTTCTACAAAAGAATCTGTGTATATAAAAAATACACATTGTTTCCAAAGTGCACTGAAAGCATTGTGCACTCAAATATATAATAATGCACAAGGAATATCTAATAGAGTGTACAGACACTCTGAAATAGAGTGCTTTTTCGTTTGTGTATAAAAAGGTGGGAGTGTGCTCCACACAAAGTCTTGTGTGTGAAGATTAAATGTCTTTTAAATATTTTTAAGGAGCACTTGAATTAAACTATTTCACAGGCAGTGCCTTCCCATCGGATCAGGTTAGGTGCCAAAGAAGTTAAATCAAGCGCACCTCAATGAATTCACAATAATAGAAACATTGAAAGATATTTTTTGCTTGGGCTCGAGGACAGCTATACATCTGGCTCTCCCTCTCTCACACAGAACCTCAACATCAATAAAACGAGAATAATCATCACGGTCAACACTGTTATAAAACTCCCAAAAATACATTCACTGTGGACACTCAGGGTGGAGGTTGTGAGGGTCTGATGCTGGTAAACACACTCCCAGCGCAGACATAGTGAGTGTGTGTGTGTATGTTTAGATATACACACTGCTGCACGTCAATTGTTCGCTCAAGTTCATGAGTCTGCTATAATCCTAATAGCATCATGCGCTCTGAGAGTCTCACACACCCACATGAAGCTGGGTGGGGGGGCTAGCGGTAACAAAATGTGTCTTATGATGTGTGCACGATCATGTGTGACTACTATCTGTCAGAAGTGATGGAGTTGTCTGACTAAACGGGTCAGAGCAACATGTACTGGTTGTCTATCGCCCGCTTGCGACCTCGCTCAGGCTCCAGCTCGTAGTCTGAGTCCCGCTGAGGGATGTGGGGGCGGTGCAGGGGTCTCCTCCCTACCGATTCACTCCGACCCAGAGGAGTGGGGGTTGACGAAGGAGGGTCTGGGACAGGGTTGGTGCGAGTGAATGGGGGGTTCCCCGGCTGGGAAACAGAGCTGGGACTGGCGCTGGTGCTGGTGGTGGAGCAGGAGGAAGGGGGATGACTGGAGCTGCGAGCCAAGCTGTAGTGAGCCAAGCTGGGCTCGGAGCTCCACCGATGGCGGGAGAAAGGGACAAGAAGAGCGCCTGAGAAAAAAAAAAAAAAAGAGGAGATGAGAATTTTCGAGAAAAAACTACAACTTCCTCTGAATTTCTGCTGCACACCTGCTCACCATTACACAACAACACAGGAGTGTCATTTAAGGATAATTCTCTCATTTCTGAAATATTAACACCGCACCCACTGAGTTAATCTAATCTAAATGTGACCTACAGCAGTTGTCCTAGTTGTGTACACAGTTCTTCTTTTGTGATCCTTCATGATACGTTTTAGATGTCCATGAAAGAAATACAATACAAATAATAATTTCTCAGATTTATCCTGTGACCCGGCGGAGGGGTCTCAACCCTCGTTGGTTACCAATGGTTTGGATAATCTGGCTAAACTGTCATCTTATTTACAGCCTGTCTGACTGTGTCACACTGTTGGCGTTACTTCATTGAGTGCAATGTTACCACAACCAATAAAATAGATGGTGAAAACAAAAAAACAGACCAAAGTTGTAATAAACATGTTTATGTAAAAGTCAAATTCAGCCATTGCTACAAACACTAAATCAATATGTTTTCTGTTTCACAAAGACGCATGACATGAGTCTCACCCTGTGATGGAGGGCTGGAGCTCGCCACTACGAAGCTGGACAGTGTGACGGCACCGGCGGCTCCGCACTCCAGTGGGATGGGGAAGAGGCGGAAGTGACTGAGCATGTCCATAACAGAGGGGAAGCGCAGGTGCTGTACCCTGCACTGACCCCATTCTGTTAGAGAGAGGCGCAGGTGCTGCAGAGACAGACAGATGGAGACGTAAGCAAAGAAACATTTTAAAAGTGAGTCTGACCAGGAGCGGAATTGAGACCACTCTATTTCTTTACCCCGGTGGTCAGTGTTCACTCTTGTGGATGGTCTTTCCCATTAGCTGAATGTTTGCATAACTCTTCATTTAAGTGTTTTCCACTGTTGTCAGGAAATGTGGTCAGCACCAGTTTGATGTATGCACGCGAAAAGAAGAACGATGTGGATTGGAGGAGAAGTGTTCATTCATATTACTAAATTATTCGGTGAACCACTCCCGGATGTGAACTAAAACACCGGTGTAAACAAACAAGTTTTCCTATATCAGACATTGTGAGACGTACCTTTGCTTTTCCCTGGTAGTTGAAAGTGAGGACGTAGTCTCCTCTGCGGGTCTCGCTCTGTCGGACCAGAAACACTCCGTGTCCCTCCGGTCCTGAGCTCTGAACCAGGTATGCTGCCTTGACGCGGGAGATGGGGCCGTGGAACCAGGGGTAGGAGATCAGGAATTGATCAGCCTTCTGGACTACCTGCTCCGGCAGGGCAAAGGTGACGGGGCCTGGAGAGATGAGAGAAACAAAATGGTTTAATTCTTCAAAAGTGACATGCTCACAATTAATTATCCCAAAACTCTACTGGCCTCCTTTAGATCTGGTGAACACAGAAACATTTAGCAGCTAATGAGTCAGATTTTTCTCCCAGGAGTTGGTGGAGACTAAAACAGAGCTAAAAGGAGAGTGAGTACTGGATTAAAATTCATCAGGTGGACACAAATATGACTTCAAATAAATCGTTGCTCCATATCTGATGGATGTATAACTAAGCAACTGTTTATCATATTATCACCATTTATGCATTTATTTAAAGCAGAGAGGCTGTTTGAGAAGACTTGATCCCAGACCAGAAGGCACATGGGGACACATTATCTCTGGACACTAGGAAGTCAACATTTTGTCCCAGAACTGTAAACCAAACCTTTTTAAATACGTAAATACACGCATCTACACCCTGATTGTTGAAGTATTTTGCACAGAAGCCCCTCGTCTCATCACTCACTTTGACTTCCTAACTCTGAGCTCCCTCTGTGATTGGTTGGGGCCGAGCTGTCAGTTGGGGGTGGGAGCGGCTCCAGATCCACACTGCCAGACCTGAAGGACAAGAACAGATTCAGATTACACAAACTCTACAACACACGTATGTTAATCTGACTGTGGAGCACCTGAAGCAGAAAATGGTGTTTTCATTTGTGTTTTATCATCTGTCCTATAAGAAAACTTCATCTCAAGATCAGAATCTTCTTTCTGTCTTGTGGTGAAAAGATATTTAAGTTCCATATATATATTCCAGTTTCCATTTAGTAACTGTGATTACTCCAGTGTCTGGAGCACAAGCAACAGAGATGGTAAGAATGAAAGAGAGGGCTGTATGTGTGTGTGTGTGTGTGTGTGTGTGTGTGTGTGTGTGTGTTGGTGGGGTGATTCTAGTGAACGTGGAGGAAACAGCAGGCTGAAGGAACACAAAGACACCGAGCACAGACAGGAAGTGAGTCCAGTTCACCAGTTCAGATCTGAGCTAAGACTGTTCTTCTCTTTCACTGCTCACACATAGCCAAAAAAACAAACGTAGACACACACACACACACACACACACACACACACACACACACACTCACACACTCACACACTCACACACTCACACAAAAACAAAAGACATACAGACTGACACATACAGTGTGTGTGTACATACGCAGATGAGAACGGGAAGGTTAAAGAGGGAAGCTGAACCAAATCCTGCTAAAATGCTGACTTGAGTTTGCAGCACTCTGAATAACAGGAAGACAAGTCTCCTTTCTCCTCACTGTGTGTGTGTGTGTTTTCTTCTATCTTCGTGAGAATCATTTCATGTTTTACTCTAGCAAAGAGCAAAGTGAGGAGATTTTGCAAAGCGAGTACTTTTCAGTCAGTCAGCAATGCTTCAACGATTAGAGCTAAGGGCTTAGTATGCTTGAAACAAACTACACCTACCACATCTGACCACATCTAAAGGGAAAAGTGTTTATACTCGTTCCAAATGTCCCCACTCGAGGGCAAAGTGAAAAGCCTGCCATCACAGCATCTTCCTGGCTGGATCACACTGCCTCCTGATCGCTCTCTCGCAGGTTTTTGTAGTCTCGACATGATACGAATCATACAGACGGGATAATGGTACAATAGTAAGCAAGCATGCACAACATTTAGTATTTACTTAATGTTACTATTTAGTATTGTGCTGGGCCATGTTACAATGTCTCTCAATGAGCATTCATGCTGTTATATCAAGTTTTAAACACGAAAAGTAGGGCTGCACAATTAATCTAAATATGATTGAAATAGCAATAAGTGAAATAAGGTCATAAATGTGACAAAGCAGCATTATAATGAAGTACTGTAGTGCTGCAGAGACTACCTGGTGTACAAATCTTGTTCTCCAGATTTAAGAAAACATATAAATGATTATTCTATCCGATCGTGAATCATATCGCAACCGCAATATCTGTCAGAAATATCACAATATGATGTTTTTGCCGAACTGTGCAGCCCTAACAAGTGACGAAAGTAACTGTGAAGAATGAGAGAGTTTTGAGAGAAGTTCAAACACTTCCTACTTTCATAACTCTGCACACCTGGCAAACCGCTGTGTAAAGTGGTTATGATTGTTGGACTGTAACAAATATTGTTGAATGCTGTCCTAATGTTAGAAAGAGGTGGCAGAGGGGGTTTCAAAAGCTGTTAGTAGACCAGAAAGAGTGCTGCATTAGTGGGGTGTGTTGTTTAAGGTAGCGCTGAATAAAATTAACTATGATGACTATGATGTCAATTGTGGTATCAAAGTGCAAAGAGAGAATCAGTTTCACTTCACAAAAGTAAATATCATTATATTCCTGGGTTATCAGATGCCAAAACCCGGCTTGTAATTCACACAGACAGCTTTTTATAACTATCACAGCAGCAATTATTAATCTTTCAATGGCAGTTCTTCCTCTGAGTCGGAATTCAGTACAAATGAAGAGACCGTTTTGAAGTTCATATTTCTTCTCCTCATTCATATTCACATCAGCCAAGAAGAAAAACCTGACTTGTGCATGAACCAGAACCGGGGTTCCCAAACTTTTCTTTGGTTTGATTTTGTCTTATGGAAGCCCTTCCGATTATTCTATTTTTAGGTTAAGATAATAAAGTCTTCACAGTCAGTCAATGATTAAACTAGGACCATTCACTTGCTGTTCCAATTTCCAAAATATGTGATAAAAGTTCAAATATTCTATTCCTCCTTTTGCTGGGGACCCCCCTACAACCCACTCAAGGACCCCTGTTGGTCCCCAGACCCCTGTTTGAAAACCACTGCAATAGAGGTAGGCATATATGTATATATATACTGTATGTATATAACCTTATTACAGATGTATTGGTTTCTGCTAAATGTCGGCTGATAAGGACATTGCGGGACTGATACGCAAACTAAGTTTGACTCATTTAGAAACAGTTTCACCATTACATAGTTTGTCCACCAGAGAGCTCTGACAAGTTGATTTTTCAACTATGAAATGTCCCATTCAGTGTGTATCCTGATCACAACAGGAAAACAAATCTGTATCAAGACTGTTTGTTTATGCTATGTTAATTTTTTTTTACTACCTCTAATATATGTTGTTATCAGACTTTCCTAAATCCCCAGATATCAATATCAGGCGAATTCAATAATTGTTGGGTTACAGGGTCAACCCACTCACACACAGAGATACTGTACACTGTATACACTTACTAATATATTAACACATGCACTTTAATGAATTCCTGTGCATGTTTTAAATGTTGATAAAAATTAAGAGAAGAGAAATATAACACTTGACGAACACTTCACAAGTCTCATCTGGCATCTGAATAAACACTGAATTCAAGAGTGAACTTTGACCTCACTTCCACACTGGGTGAGTGTTCACTGTACTGTGTGTGTGTGTGTGTGTGTGTGTGTGTGTGTGTGTGTGTGTGTGTGTGTGTGTGTGTGTGTGTGTGTGTGTGTGTGTGTGTGCACGTGTCTGAGTGAATAAGAGCATTCCAGACATCTGCAGAAATGAGAAAGGTCCTGAGATTCTCCCGAGTCTCAGACCTCCCCCACACTTCCTTTCACAAAGCAACACACACTTGCACAAACACACACACAGATATGTATGCTCTGAAACATAAGGTCAAACTTATTAAATCTTTTTTGGGCGTAATCTTTATGTCTGCTGCTAAAGATACGGTACTGTTTGTCAAACGAAAGACAGAAAAGAAGGATTCCTGTATTTTATATTACAGTAATGAGTATTACTAGGAATTTTATCTATAATTTCTTCTCCTCAGTAGTGTGTCCTTAGAGTAGAGTCAGTTTCATGGCTAAGTTAAGTACTCCAGCCTGTAATAGTGATGTTTAATTAATTTTGTTGATTTTTTTTTTATCATAATATTACTATTATGTAGTATTTGGTAGTCTAATCTGGAGAAAAACAGCATGATGAAACCAGCACAGTCATCGCCTTATTATAAATTATGATGATTAAGTATTTCTGTTAATTATTTGGATTTATTGAAGGTGGGCAGAAGAGGAAAATAAGGAATGGGGATGTTGTGATCACAGCATAAAGCAGGCACTCCCACGGCAACACTACCACGACTCCCACACAACTCTCTTTACGTTTACACAACTTTAAGTTTAGCCAAAAAAAAAAAAAAAATCAAATTTTAAAAACTACATTTATTGCAGAGGCCGTAACAGAATGCTCTCCACAGCAGATGTGTTACCTCAAAGGTTTAGTGTAAATATTAAGTTGACTGATGAGTTTGATGAATGATTATTTCCAGGAATACTCCAAATATACCGAGGCTCAAACCTGCTTCAGTCCTTAGAGCCCTCAAGCAGGTATGTTTGCATTTGCAAACACATACCTAAGCAAAAGTAAACATCCAGCACGCCCACAGACACTAAAAACAGCCAAAGTCCAAGTGTTAAATATTTCCACTCAGAATCTCAAGGAAAAAAAGCAGCGTTGGGGAGACAGCTCTGGATGCAGGCTCTTGTTACACACTGTGTGTGGGTGTGTGTCTGGGACCCAGCTGGCTTGGACAGGTTGAGCTAAATTATTGATTTCATGAATAGGTTTTGAGTCAGACTCAGATTCACATGTACGATGCTGAAAAAACTCTCAATTTATAGTTTGAATATGAGTTGCAACTTCAGTCTTCAGTTCGGTTTGTGCTCACAAAAAACTAAAACTCTCAAAAGTAGAATGAGTTTGAGCGAATATAAGTCTGAAAACAGACTGGGTTCAAATATTCAGGTTTCAGGTTGTATAAAGTATGTGTCTTTGTGTTTCTCACCTGTTGTTGATACATTCTTTTAGCTCTGTGGTCCAGGAGCTGACCTGCTGGTCGTTGTCCGTCTCAAATATCAGACTACCTCGATTAACCTGCAGAGACAAAGATGCTTTCAAATCTACCATCCACATTACATAAACGCCGGACGGTACTACTATGCACCAATGCCAGAAATAGATGGTAGACACTGTTAAAAGAAGAACTGACAGCATACCTAGGACTCAATACTGCCATTTGGGCAGCAGCTCAACTTTTTTGTGAGTAGCTTATTCTAATGTTCAGAAACAGGTGTAACAGGTAAATAAAGCTTTTGAGTCAACTTTATTTAATATTTGGTAGGAGCTTCGGGGAGCTCACAGTGCAACAGGATGGACTAGACAACATACACACCATTATGTAAATAGACATAGAATAAATACACAATATAGTTTTAAGAATTACACAGAAAAACAACATGTACCTTAAAGTACCATGGGGTTAGAATCAAATAGCCTCATATTTTAAACTTTTTTTGAGCCAGTCAAGATTTAAAATAAGGTTGTCTGCTAAGAGGGAATTCCCTCAAAGAGGAGATATGCTAACAATATTTAGAGCCAAACTGTAAAGAGAGACAGGAGGGAGAATTGGTTTTAATTTAACTATTTTCTCTAATGCTATCAGATACTCACTGCTGTGACTTTGTTCACAATAAAGAAACAAACTACAAAGGTTTTAATTAACTTGGATTCAAGTCTGTTACCCTGGATTTCAAAGCCCAAAAATATATATACATCCTTAAAAAGTTTTCAAACCACTTCCGCAGTGCAACAAAGAAGCAGTGTTTTTTAATATATATTTTGGTGAAACGAGGGTCGATGGAGCAGCCATCTTTCAACACTTCAGTTGTTGGATGTTTGATACTCGAGACAAAGTTTGGGTGGAATATCCTTTAGGTTTAAACCAAAGAGGTCTAAATGAAGGCTGTGTGGTGAGTTTTGTTATGAAATGATATGACACAATGATTGTCCCGTTTCCTCTTCATGTTGGATTGAGGGTTGGAGATCTAAGCAATGTGGATGTAAATAACACAGCGGCTAGAGTCTGGAAACTGTAGAGTTCTTACTTCCATTGAGCTGAAAATATCTGTACATACCTTTAAAACAAATGTGTTTAAGTTGTCAGGCATCTCCAGTCGGTTGCAACGACGGACTTCTTGGATATCTGAGCAGTGAGTCGTCAGCTTGGGACTGGAGGCCTGAAAAACACAATAAAGACACGATGACAGTCGGTTAGATCAGACGTTACCATCATGAGACAGGAGACACAAAAAGGTACAGAAACAGGAAGTAATAGTGTGCTGTGTCCTGCAAGAGCGTTAACTTTCCTGATCAGGATTATGCTCTCCATCTCTCTGGTTTGTAGAGATAATAATGAGGTGGCTGACCATTGCCAAATTCCCTAAACTACACATTGAACAACATGCTTACAGGCTAGTTGCTGGTAGTCTGAGAGGAAACTCGAGAGTTTGGGGCTTTTAAAGAACTTATTCTGAAAATAGGACGTTGTGAATATTAGATTCTATTTCTGCTAGTAGATCCTCCTAAATGTTACACACTGGACCTTTACCACACTACACCACAGACATACATGTGTGCAACACATTTTACTATTCACTATGTCGTTACATGTAACAAATGGGAACCAGATGGTCCACACAAAGCAGTGTCAGTTTCTGTCAGAGGGAGACACATTTGTGTCTGTACTGTTATGTTTATTTGAGTGTATGTGTGTGTCCACAGTTTGTCCAGTTAAATTGAACTTTATTTTGTCCATTGGTTCAATTAAACTGGGCAGGTGTGAACACAGTAATCGTACTCGAGTGTGGACCTAAACAATCGCACTAAGACCCTTTAGAGTCTCAAACGAACTCTGGAGTGGTTTGTTTGTTGTGAGAACGTGATCCTCGATCTGACCCAACTACCAGGTGTACTCCACAAGTTTGAGCTAAACAACTCCTCTAACCAGGTGTGCTTTGCATTCTGGGATGTGGGAGAGCACCAAACTGTACCAAGGCAAGGTTTTGCATTGCAGTGTTTTATCACTTTCTTAGGAACAAGACTATGTCAAAACCTTATATATGGTGTGTGTAATGTTAATTCCTGGATAATAAATGTTCATCTGCAAATTTCTGTAGTAGTCCTAGTAATATTTGTTCTGAAGCCGTATGGAAGCAGATCACATGAAATGGTTAAGCTACATTTGAGTCAAAAAATGTTACAGGCTAAATTCAGTTGCAAGAACAATAGTTTGTCACTCCTATCTTAAGGATTTAAAAGAGAACTTACTATAACTATTCTAATCTATTAACTTATCTATTTACTCGCCCCTGCTCTTTTACTTGTTTCTATCTTTTGGCACACTGTTATTTGGGGTGCTTCAACTGTAAAACTCTAACACTGAACCAGACCAGTGGTGGGACTTCATCACTCATTCACAAGTCAGTAAGTCACAGATTGCGCCGGTAGGGCTTGGCCCGTTTGCTGCGGTCCAGCCAAAAAAAACGAGACGGAACAGGGAGGTGGTCAACAAACAGGAAACATCAAAATGCTAAAAGTTTACTAACTAATTAACTGTTTCGGAAAAAAGCATACTATAGGTGTGAAAACGCCCACACAAAAATGTGTGCAGTATGTGCATATGTGTTGTCCCTATATGTGTATACATGTGTGAATGTGAAAACTCTGTGCTGCTGAAACTGAAGCCTCACTTAGTGAAAGAAAATGCAGGGAATTGTAGGAAGAAGAGCATAATGGGAGCTCTGATGGCAGAGCTCCAAGGCCGACTCCACCAGGACAAACTGTGTATTTGAAGAATGTTAAATGAGATATAAGAGGGGCTTCCTGGTGGCTCTTTTACCTGAGGCACACTGCATAAACTCCTTAAACTGCGGCTTTGAGTCTGTCGACTGCCAACAAGAGGACTTCAGTCACCCGGATTTTTATGTATTAATAAAACATATGAGATCCTTTCTACAGGTGTAAGGCCGCTTTTTAAAGTCCTGTCCCTTTTAGGTTAACATGAAACCCACTAATAAAGCGATGCAGAGCCTTCAAGCCCTCAGATACACACAGGCACTAACAAAGCCACAGGCATAAACACACACACACACACACACACACACACACACACACACACACACACACACACACACACACACACACGGATGGATGACTCAGTCAGCCATGTGTACAAGCCTGTGGCATCCTGGGTCATAAGTCACCTCTGAAATGAAGCCTTGGTGACAGCTGATAGAAACACGAGAGAGTCAGGAAGTCTTCTTGAGAAAAAGTGTGTGCATCATATGTTAGCTGTATGTGTGTATGTGGATCCTGCATGCTGTATATAAACATATGTTTATATAATCTACAACTTTACTGATTCAGTATTTATTCCTTTGCACTATTTGTATTTGTTTACAATCTACATAACATTTGACTTGTATACAGACATTGTATGTTGTTGGTCATTCTTGCTTTTTCTATATATATATATATATATATATTTAAATATACACTTAACTTGTTTGTACATTTAGGTAAAGGTCCAGTGTATAACATTTAGGAGGAAATAGAATATAATGATCACAGGTATGTTTTCATCACTGTATAATCACCTGAATATAGGAATCGTTATGTTTTTGTTACCTTAGAATGAGTATTTTATATCTACAGACACCGTGGAGTCCACCATGTTGAACCGCCATGTTTCTACAGTAGCCCAGTATGGACAAATAAAGCACTGGCTATAGATATGGCCTTTCTTGTGTTTTGTTGCTACCATAGCTTCTCCTTCGCACTTGCAAGGGGAGGGTGAAGCGATGCAGTTGCGATCTGCAACTGCACCATTAGATGGCACTGAATCCTACACACTGGATCTTTAAAGGGTTGGGTTAAATCAGCGGTTTTGTACGGGGTCTCTTCTGTTCTTTTGTCAGTTTTGCTGCTGCTGTAGTTTCTCCTACACGTTTCACAGGCTGTTCTCATTCCCAGGTTGTCGAATACAGACGCAAGCAGTGTTCATTTGGTTGCAATCTGCAACTTAACTGCTAGATGCCACTACATCTTACACACTGGTACTTGTTTTACTTCTTTTTTCAGCTTGCTGTCCTCATTTTTATTTTTTCTATCTTCCTGTAAATTGTTCTATGTAGAAATATTATTAAAACCAGAGTTAAATTCCTTGTATGTGTACACATACTTGGCTAATAAAGCTGATTCTGACTTATTATTGCAGCTCTACTTAAGTATTCACAATCACATTGAGCAAAGTTTAAATTATGTTTGTTCAACAAGATACCAAAAGAAAATCCAATAATAAAGTATGTTCTTGAGAATCTACTGTAAGATCTTAAACTGTGACAGATTGATTATAAACCACAATATCTTTACTTCATCATAATAATTAGAGGGAAAGATGATAAAATATTATCACCCAGCCCAGGAAAATGAATACCTCTAATCTACCAGTTATTATTGTGAATCTCACTAAACTTTCTCCCAAACAAACACAGCACACAGTGGAAGCTAACAAGCTACAGTTGAATCAACATCAAACGCTATGGGACAAACATATGCAAGAGAGCAGAAAAAAAGTGGCGTGGGGGGTGGGGGTGGGGGGGTGAGTAGCATGAGAGAGCAGAAGCAGCAAAAGGAAACAGACGAGACAGTGAAAGACACGGCGTTGGGTGGGAGAGAGGGAGGGATGAGGAGCAGAAGAAAGAGCAGGGAGGACGGATTCCAGCGCTTTGTGCACCGGATGAGTTTGAGTCTATGTGACAGTGTGTGAGCCTGAGGAATGTCTGTCTTAATCCTACACACATGCATCAAAAGAATAGATTAGCCCCCCACTCGACCAATTTCCTCAGCTTGCAAGGGATGTGAATGAACCCTGTAACTCGTAACGAGCTTTGTTTTAACCACAGAGTCTAATATTATCAATAAAAAGCACTGTGACGCAGAGATGAGAGGGATGTGACTCATTTAGAGAGATCTAAGTCAGTGAATGAGGAACTGACTAAACATAGCCAAATTGCTGTGACAGCTGAATTTTAGTTCAGGATGTTCAGAGAAACGTGTTCCTTCAGATTCAGGTTAAAACTTTCAGGTTTTCTTATAACTGTCCTGCGTAGAAAGATAGAGTAAGAAAGATGCAATCAATGTATTCTCAGAGAAAGGGTGTTTACACCAGAAACAAGAGGCACACACTGAGAGGAAAACATTACCCAGAACTAGGGTTGCGTGACACATCATGGCCTCCATATCATCAGCCCATTAATGAGAAAATGTAATTACTTTCACTGTTTGAATGATGTTTGAGCTAATATTACATCAGATAATGTGGAGTCTTTAACAATAGCTGTAGACCAGCTATGCCACCTCTAACCTGGCTGTGAACGGGGATCAGTTCTCCTGGGGTTACTGGTGTAATTTATGGTTGTGTGTGTTTAGTCTTTTTCTGGTGTTACTAGCAAGAAAATACAGCCCTGAAATTCAATATTGGGGTATTTCTCTATTCGCACAAACATTTGTGCTTCTATTACAATTTAAATGAATAAATATACAACTATAGCTGAAACAATTAGTCAATTAATCAATTGGTTGATAGACAGAAATTAATTGATTAATCGTTTGTCATTAAAATACCAAACTTCTCTTGTTTCATCTTCACAGTTAACTGAATATCTTTGGTTTCTAGGTGGATAAAACAAGACTGGAAGATGTCATCTTGGACTTTAGGAAATTGTAACAGGCTTTTTTTTGTGTGTTTTATGACATTTTATAGACGATTAATTGAGGAAAAGAAATTGGCAATTGTTAAGGAAAATAATTATTGTAGAGTTGTATGTAGAGTTGCAGCTCTACATACAACAGATTTGAAATCTAAAAGATTTGACAACTCATAACTTTAAGCGCAAACCAGTTCAATTCTATTTGGACATTATGATTAAATAATATGTAAGCATCAATTTCAGAAAACACAAGAACAAAGACACAAAGGTAAAGGATGCAAGTCAAAGCTTAACCATCAACACCATAACTATTACACAGGATGTGCGACAGCTTATGTGATCTGGTACTGTGTGTGCGTGTGTGTGTCGATGAGCATATGAGCTACGAGTGACTCATTGAGAGGAATTTATTGTGAGAATGTGAATGAGCTTCTGACTAAGAGCATCTTTGAGGAACCATATGTGTC